GTAATACTTGTCTCTGTAGTTTAAGTCTTTCCTCTGCCATATTTTTTACCATCACCTGATACAAACTTACCTTCTATTTATTTGTATTAAATGCATCCTTGAGTTGAAAACAGTGCTTGGGCACTAAAGCTGTGTATACTATTGCTTACTAGAAATATGGAGTTTTGGTTCAGAGTCTGGATGCTGTTTGATTTGGTAGGGATCTTGCAAAGCACCAGAACTATGAGTGAATCAGTATTTGCCTAAACATAGACAGCTTGCTTTCAAAGAGATCGGTTGTGTTGATGCAATTACGTGCAAGACAAAGCCGGGCTACCTTTAGTTTGACTTCAGGGTTTGTTTTTTACCATTACATTGCTTTCCTGTTTAACTGTGGAACATGCTTGTTCAGAAACTTGGGGTTGTATGAACTTACCAGGTTTTCTTCATTTTGTTTTTCAGTGGTTTGGTGCGTTTTGGTTTTGTTTTGTAAAGTGCTTGTCTCACTGTCTATTTGGTCTTAAACTTGGGTTTAAATGGAGTATTTTACTTGCTACTACAGGCCTTTATGGGAGTATAGGTCGCGAGCTCTTTTAGCTAGAACACAATCCTTAGGACCTTGAACTTGACGAGAGGGCTGGAGAAAGTGCTTTTACCAGTCTATGTATGTCTGAATTTAAAATTGCTCTCCAGGCTGGACTAACATGAAGAAAAAACCACATTTAACATACCTTTTGAATACGTGTCTTGTAATACAACCTCATTACAAAGTTTAACCCTTAAAATAGTTGACTTGGTTTCTGCCTCCCATTCTCTATGGAGAAGGAGGCTCAAGTAACTTCATGCACTTGGGCAGACCTCGCTGATGTGATTCAATATCATATGGCCTACAGGTATGTAATTCTAACTGCCTGTGTAACTGGAATGTTTGAAGATGATCCACCTCCCTAGTGAGTGTTTGACCAGTGACATACATTACTAACAATGCTTAATTCTTTACTGACCTTCCTTTACTGCCCAGAGAAAAGGTTTAATACTTGCACGTTGATGGCTTTTAATGAGAAGTTAACTTAATATGGCTCAAGGAAGACAGAGGTCCTACCTGGATGTGGCAGGCATGGGATAGAAATGTATAACATAGTGTATTTAATCCTGCACAGTCAGATTGCAAGAGCAGGTTTTGTGCTTGTGAAGCAAATCAAATTGAAGAAAAGCTTATTTTCAATTTAGATGAGACTGCAAGATAAAGTATTTTTCTTGCATTAAGTGTACCAGAGAAAGGAAGTGATAGAATAAAGACGGCTGTTCTGAGTTTAGATGAAGCTGAATTCAAGGTGGTTTTTCTCCACCTACTCTGAGGCCTTCTCTGTTGAATTTAGGAATGTTCTTGCTTTGGGTAGCTGAGGGAACTAAAACACACTTGCCATGTTGTACTCTTTTTCTCAGCTTGCTGTAGGTATGGTAATAGTTGCTTGATTTTGCAAGACTTTATGAGCACTAGCAGATACAGTACAGCACTGGCAGATACAGTAAAAATGTAAGTGTAGCCTAATTTATTCAATTTTAAGCTAAAAATTTATTTACAAACATTTTTCCCAGAAATTATTGGGCTACATAATCTTATGTAAGCAGCCTTTTCCAGAGAGCAGAGCCTGCTGCTTAAACAGCATGAAGACTTTGCTATTACCGTTTGGACTGTCTTGAGAGCCAGGAGTGTTTAAGAAAGGCAAGACCCCCAGTTACTCCAGACACTGGTGGTTGAGATTGTCTGTAGTTCTAAATATGGTCTTTGGTTGTTTGAAAGGTTGATACGGAAAGCTTGTAACTGTGCTAGTGTAGTCTTAAACATCCTGTGCTGAGGAACATGCTAGTTACTGTAAAGTGTAGGAATGTCTTTGGGTTTATTCTAAATACAAAAGGATAATCACTTATACATGTTTTAATTATCACTTGTGACCTTCTTCAGAGGGAACTGAAAAGAAGCTTTCTCCAATCTTGTTTGTATGTTGTTCTGCATTCAGTAGAATACAGAGCTAAAAGTACAGTCCCCATCAAAAAGATCCTACAACTGAATGTGCATGTGCGTACAAGAGGTCAAGATACAGATTCTGAAAGGCCATATATCAAATATAGTGCTTGAATTGAGTAGACTCTTATTTGTCAATAGGAAGCTTAAAAAAGGGAGAGGCAGTCATCTGAATGCATCTGTTAAGAGAATGTATGATGGTATCATTCTTCATGAAGACAGAACTCTTCAAGTACGTGGCTTTTTGGTGTTTAGGGGACACTCAAAAAAGAAAGAGAAGGGGAACTTTTAGCCAGGAAAGATGTGCTTTGGGTGATGAATGTGTGGGCAAGTAAAGCTTGTTGCTTTTATTATTCTTTGGGAATATTCATTAGGGTTTATTTGCAAGTGGTGATTCTGGCTGTGCATGACAGACCATAAGCAGGTATTAGAAATGCCACAGGCGACTCTCAAAATGGCCCATTAAGCAAAATGGATTGCATGGTTTATTATTGAATTTCATTTTGCATCCAAAATTTTGGATGAAAAAGGGATACATTTAAACTAGGTAGAAGCTGAGGTACTACTGCAGTTCAGGAATCACTTTTGGTAGGAAGTTCTTAGAACAGTCACATTTACTTAGAATGTCGGCATTCTTAATCTCAGTTGAGAAGCACATCATGTGGTTGGAATAACACCACTGGAATACCTGTCAAGGTATGCTTTAGTTGTATAAGTCTATTTTGATTTACTTGGTGTGTCAGAAACATCAGCTGAATACTCAACAAAACCAGCATAGCCTTAAAAATAAAACAAAGCCTCGTCAGGTATTGGCTTCCTGTGACCCATTATTCTTTGGGGAGGACAAGCAAAGCACTTACCTTGCTTCGGAGCCATCCCTAACTAAATGTGCCTGAAATTATGGAAGCAGTGACCAAATGACAGAATAATGTGATGTTAAGTAACATTTTGGCACCTGAGGACAGTGAGGTGCAGTATCTGATGCTTATAGATGATGTTATAGATTATAATTATTATAATTACAAATTATTATTATTATAATGTTATAGATAATGGAATGCCTTCCATTCATATTCTGGGTAGGTTTCTATTGATCAGATTCATCAGTCTTGAAGTAAAAATCTGCCTAGATATTAGCGATTTGTATTACCTTATTTTTCTGGCCTGCATCCCAGTACTGATCTGGGCTAACTCTCCTGAAGCCATCACTTAGCCGGGGGCTATAACATCTGTCTCTCATCTTCTAAGAAAGATTGCCAATTGAATTAGGCTACTTTGAAAAGCTTTTATGGCTTTGAGATGGGTTGAAAGCTGCTGGAGATGAGATTTATCAAACCCATTATAGTTGAGCATTATTCCATTTGATTAGTCACTCTTGGCATACAGCTAGGATTTGAAAGTAAACTGTCTTCAGCAAACTTACCATTAATAATTCACATGTTTATGCTTGTAGGTACTGTGGAGGTCTGATAAGCAGCTTCATTTCATACACATTGAATGGTAGTGAATACACATACTTCATTGGAAGGTTTCAAAAAGGAGTAATTAAAAAGACCAGAGTTAAAGTATTTGAGTTAACGTATTAATATTGTGACACTTGCTTTCTGCTAGGAAGTATCTAAACCTGCAGCAAGACTGTAGCTTCAGTTTTCTGGGGTATGTGGTAGGGACAAACAACTTCCCAGTTCAAGGCAGGGAGGTGAGAAAGACTGTGTTTGATAGAAACAGACCTTACGCTCTCTGAAAGTTCTCACTCTCTGTAAAAACAAACCACTTTGAGCATTATAGCATTGCTTGAAGAAGGTGTATTGGGTTGCACGTGTTCTCAAGCGTACAAATAGGTCTCTAATAGAATTGGCTTAAGTTTTGTTTTGTGTTCTCTTTCTGTGACTTTCAGGGAAACTACTTTATCAAACAGTGTTATGTGCTTTCTTGTACTCTGAATTCCGTACCTTATGCTCCACAAGAGCCTTGCTTATTCCCCAAAGTAAGCCTGTTACCAGGAGAGTGGTGTTCTTTGTATAAAAGTGCATATGTACATTACTGTTACCTGTAACTTTCTTTAATATGCATTTAGTTAAATAAAACATCTTCTTAAAAAGTTAGTATCTTCCCAAACCCCTGATAAGGTTTACTTGTTTGTCAGGAAAAGAATTGCTCCCATTGTCTTGCTAGTTTCACACTATATTAAACTGTCAGCCACTTCAGTGATCATTTTGACTTTTCAAATGTTTTCCTTGCTAAAAATAATGCTCTTTATACCTTTTGATCTCTGTTGAACCATTCAACATACTTATTTCTTAGCCTGTTCTTGGCTATTTAAAGGGTCTCAAATCTTTCAATTTTTTGTAACAAAGTTGGAGTGAGAAGAATTGACTGGGTTTAATTCTAGCCTGGAAGTGATTTTTCTGTCTACATTTAAATCAAGCATGTATGGCTTTAGTCAAGATGTGATCCAGACACTGCAGAATGAATGCCTTAGTTTGACTGGGTTTAGTAACATTTTGTGCTCTTAGACCAATGAACTTATATTGAAACCCCAAAGAATTACACTGAAAAAACTCATTTTAAGGTATTTACAGATGTAGCTTTTGCAAGTTGAGCTGGAGTGATTGAAGAAACTGTTATTTCTTAGGTATGGTTAGAGCATTTCAGTTGTAAGACTAGTGACATTATGTAAATGCAAAAACTGTTGCGCTTAAATAGCTTTTAGTGCTTAGAAATGGGACAATGACAAGGGCAAATACTTCAGGAAAAGCAACTTTCAGATGGTGACCAAGTAAATGATTTGATAGAGTAGAGCTTAAATTATTTTAATGGGTTCTTGTGAATCTAGTTACTTTTTTTCGCTCATTAAATGTTATAGCTTTAAAAACACTGATGTGGAAGGAGTAATGAGCCATTGTTCTAATACAGTTATTGGAGTCCATACATATATTTCCTGATCTGATGACAATTTCTTTTCTCTCCAGGAGTGCACTGTAACCATCCTGTCCTTCAGCTGCTTTCCCTTGAGTGGGCCTGGTAAGTTTCTACATTCTATTAAAGGTAGCCTTGTCAATGCAAGAAGGGTTAACTTATTTTCAGCCATTCTTCTCCCTTCAAATGTGAATGTGAAATAAGAATAAGGTTCTACCTTAGTTCAGCTGTTGTTTGTCTTTTTATAACAGCTTCCCAGTTCTGTCTGGAACTGAAATGTCCAGTACCAATATATTATGGATATAAGCAGCAGTATGCCCAGGTGGCCAAGAAGGCCAGTAGCATCCTGGCTTGTACCAGAAATAGTGTGGCCAGCAGGACAAGGGCAGTGATTGTCCCCCTGTACTAGGCACTGGTGAGGCCACACCTGCAATCCTGTGTTCAGTTCTGGGCCCCTCACTACAAGAGAGATACTGAGGTGCTGGAACAGGTCCAACAAAGCTGGTGAAAGGTCTAGAGAACAAGTCCTGTGAAGAAGGGCTGGGTGGGCTGGGGCTTTTTAGCCTGGAGAAGAGAAGGCAGAGACAAAACCTTACTGCTCTCTAGAACTACCTGAAAGGAGGTTGTGGTGAGGTGTCAATCTCTTCTCCCAAATAACAAGGGGTGAGAGAAAAGGAAATGGCCTCAGGTTGCTTCAGGGAAGGTTTAGGTTGGATATTAGGAAAAATTTCTTCACCAAAAGGGTTGTTGGGCATTGGAACAGGCGGACCAGGGAAGTGGTGGAGTCGGCATCCCTGGAGATACTTAAAAGATGTGTAGATGTGGCACTTGGAGACATGGTTTAGTGGTGGACTTGGCAGTGCTGGGTGAACAGTTGGCCTCAGTCTTAAAGGTAATTTCCAACCTGAATGGTTCTATGATTAAGAAAAACACAGAACATCCCCATTGCTTTGTATCTGTGCTGCTTAACACAATTTCTAGGAAGTTTTGTCCAAAGCTGGTAGTTATCTGTGGTGTTGCAACTGACAGTGGGTAGTTTATGAATTTGTTTCAGGGCCTCTGGTTTTGAGAACCTTGCCTTTCTGCCAAACCTGGGTATATCAGAATTATGACTCAATGCTACTTCTTGAAGTCTTGCATGTTGCAGATTTCATTTTCACATAGTTAGCTGGCAGCAAATAAAGGAATTACTGCCCAATTGAAACAGGACTTGGTGTAGGCAGTTTCCTGGGTTTCATGCTGATGTGACTGCAAAACTTTGACTTCTCATTCAACATGATCATGCCTGAGTATGTTTTGTTCCATTTCATGTAGCTGTGGCAACGCAGAGCTTAATGGATCCTGATGTCTGCCGCAAGGCAGCAGTTCTAATGAAAGCTGAAATGTTTGCCCTTTATTTAGGTAAAGCCATTAAAAGTAAAGCATGCCTAATTTTCTCCATCCAGAATGAAGACAAATGTGAAGATGGCATGTCCAAGGAATTTTAAAAGGTGTAGACCTCCTGACTGAGCAGTGCTGTGTATTTATTCTCTTTAATTAGTAAAGTAAGTATGAATCAAACCTATGCTGCTGGGGGTTAGGTGTGCTATTTTTATATATATGGCAATATTGGACAATAAGAGGTTGGGTTGGTTTCACTTCCTTTCTGTCAGGATGCTTAATGCTCTTGATGGGAGAAGGTGGGAATTAGAATGTATAAACCAAAGCTTTTGTGGGAATTTTTGTGTATTCATCTTTAATTGGGTAGCATGACTTAATCTAGTGGAAAGCTCTAAATGACAAAAGCCATCATGTTAATGTACTGCTCTCATTTGGGGATTCTTCATAAATGAGAATGTTTGCTATTTATGTTTAGAATGGTGCAGAAGGACTGCTAGTAATGTACCAGTCACTTCCTTAACCTACACCTGCTTGTGTTGCTACTTGAAGAGTACCCAAATGTTTGGTCAGAATATACTTTTTCCTAACCCGTGATGCTGTTTTCACTCTTCATTTAAACTTTTGCATTCCATGTAACTTTCCTTAAATAAGATGATGGCTCGACTTAGGTACCAGGAGTTTGTGGAACCTTTTGTTACGCTCCGGATGCAAATGTTACCCACTTAAAACTGAGAAAACAGCAATAACCTTCAAGTGTTTAATAGTGAGAAAAATGGGTTTTAACAATTCTCTAAGAATGTCTTTTCTTTCTTTTTTCCTCTACCAGCTGCTGTTCTCTCACAGGTGAAAGTCATGATCACGCTAACAGAACTCAAATACTTAGCAGATGCCCAGTCATCCTACCACATACTAAAACCATGGTGGGATGTCTTCTGGTATTACCTCACCATGATAATGCTGCTAGTTGCTGTGCTCGCTGGGGCTCTCCAGCTTACTCAAACCAGAGTATTGTGTTGTCTTCCTTGCAAGCTAGAATTTGACAATCACTGTGCCGTGCCTTGGGATTTAGTGAAAGCCAACCTTAACATGTCAGCTAGCTCTGCAGCACAGATAATCATCCCGCTTAAAATCCAGAACGATCTCCATCGGCAGCAGTATTCCTATATTGATGCAGTATGTTATGAGAGAGAGCTTCACTGGTTTGCCAAATTTTTTCCATACCTAGTGCTTTTGCATACCTTTATTTTTGCAGCTTGCAGTAATTTCTGGCTTTACTACCCTAGCACAAGTTCCAGGCTTGAGCACTTTGTAGCCATTCTTCAGAAGTGTTTTGATTCTCCATGGACAACACGTGCCCTCTCAGAAACAGTTGCCGAGCAGTCTGTGAGGAAGTTGCCAATAGCCAAATCAAAAGCAGCAATTTCACCACCTGGGAGTTCAGTAGATATAGGGGCCAGCAGACAGTCCCTGCCATATTCCCAACCCGGCTTGGAAACAACTGGAAGAGAAAATTCCTCAAGTGTTCTTGACAAAAAAGAAGGGGAACAAGCTAAAGCTATATTTGAAAAAGTGAAGAAATTCAGAGTACATGTTGAAGAGAAGGATGTCATATATACAGTGTATATGAAACAGATTATAGTGAAAGTCGTTGTATTTGTAATAATAGTAATTTATGTCCCCTACTATTTATCATTTATTACACTTGAAATTGATTGTGTAGTCAATGTTCAAGCCTTCACAGGCTACAAAAGGTACCAGTGTGTTTATTCACTAGCAGAGATTTTTAAAGTTTTGGCTTCATTTTATGTTGTTTTAGTGATCTTCTATGGCTTAACTTGTACTTACAGTTTGTGGTGGATGTTAAGAAGTTCACTTAAGCAATACTCTTTTGAAAAGCTGAGAGAGAAAAGTAATTACAGTGATATACCTGATGTAAAGAATGACTTTGCATTTATTCTCCACTTGGCAGATCAGTATGATCCTCTTTATTCCCAACGATTCTCAATATTCCTGTCTGATTTGAGTGAAAACAAACTGAAACAGATCAATCTTAACAATGAATGGTCAGTGGAAAAACTGAAAAATAAACTAGTAAGAAATTCCCAGGACAAGATTGAACTCCACCTTTTCATGTTAAATGGTCTTCCAGACAGTGTCTTTGAACTGACAGAAATTGAAGTTCTAAGCCTGGAACTTATTCCTGAAGCCAAACTTCCTTCAGCTGTGACCCAGCTAGTCAACCTCAAGGAACTCAATGTCTATCACTCATCACTAACTATGGATTATCCAGCAGTCAGTTTTTTAGAAGAGAATCTGAAAACATTGCGCCTGAAATCTAGCGAGATGGGAAGAATTCCATTTTGGGTCTTTCATTTAAAAAACCTGCAGGAATTGTGCTTAACAGGATATTTCATGCTAGATCATCACAACTCCATATATAACGAAAGTTTTCAGGGGCTAAAAAATCTGAGATCCATTCACTTAAAGAACAACCTTTCCCGTATACCTCAAGTGGTTACAGATCTTATGCCTTCTTTACAACACTTGTCTATCAACAATGAGGGGAACAAACTGATAGTGCTAAATAACCTGAAGAAGCTGGTCAACCTGAGAACCTTGGAATTAATCTGCTGTGACTTAGAGCGCATTCCCCATTCCATTTTTACCCTCAACAATTTGCATGAAATTGACTTAAAAGAAAATAACCTCAGAACAGTGGAAGAAATAATTAGTTTTCAACATCTTAAGAACCTCTCTTGCTTGAAGTTGTGGCACAACAGTATTTCCTATGTCCCGGTGCAGATTGGTGCATTGTTGAACCTGGAACAACTGTATCTAAATTATAATAATATTAAAAGTGTTCCATTGCAGCTCTTTCTTTGTAAAAAATTACACTATTTGGATCTTAGCTATAATAAGCTAACCTCCATCCCTGAAGAAATTGGTTATCTGACCAATCTGCAGTACTTGGCTTTGACAAAAAACCATGTAAGTAGAACTTTGAATTCCTACCTAAATCACATACTGTCTTAACCTACCATTTTTTCTGGCACAGCCTCTGCTTCAAAATGCTTTTGTGATGTTCATGATTAAAGTAAACCCAGTAAAGCTGAAAAAAGGGGTGGTGCTTGTTTAATCAATAAAACTTTGGTGTCATCAAAGCTTGTGTAATACTGAATACTACCCTGGTCTGTAGCAGCTTAAGGGCTCTGATCCAGAGATAGATAGCACAGGTTAGGATGGCTGCAGAAATCTATCTTCCCTTTCCCTGTGGCTGTCTATCGTATATAACATTTTAATGGAAGTGAACAGTGTTAAACTGTTACCATAAAATGTCAAGCTGAAAGCTGTAGTGAATCAACAGCTATTTGATGAGCAGCTCAGCTGTCTGAGAAGACAGAAATAATTATAGCTGTAACCTCATTAGCAGTCCTAAACTGTCTGGCTCATTAGTATGGGGTCTAGGCTTGTGACCGAGGACTTCTTTGAAGGTTTGTAATAGGTTTTTCACTGGTGAGGTTAGTTTTGGATGGACTAAAGTTACTACTGTACTTCACAAATAACTGCTAGTACAGGTTTCACAACATAGGAGCTGCTAATGTCTCCCCACAGTGTCTGTTTGTTCTTCATTAACTGATTCTTAGGAGATAGTAGCCTCTTTCTCCCCTGTCACCTGTACATGCACGTTTGTATACACACATGTATGTACTCCCCCTGCCATGCTTATGTCTTGACTTCTGCCAAGAGCTAAGGATCTTCTTGATGAAACAGGTGTATAAAATCATGCTAGTGTTCTCAAGCACTTTATCCCATAATGATAGGAGCATTGCAATATTCCCATTCCTTATCCTTCCCTAAACTAAGAGGGTGTTTTTACCCTAAAATAAAACTGGGAAATGTCAAAACATGCAGCTGCATGTAGGCTAGCAACTTCTAATGTGTATTCTTTTTGTTCTTTCCTTTCCTTTTTGTAGATTGAAATGCTGCCTGATGGATTATTTCAGTGCAAAAAGCTGCAGTTTCTTCTTCTGGGAAATAACAGTCTGATGAATTTGTCCCCTTGTGTGGGTCAGCTACTGAATCTTGTTCAATTAGAGCTCATTGGAAACTATCTCGAATCACTTCCTGCTG